ATTATATTCTATATCTAGATTATATTTCTATATCTAGATTATATTTCTATATGTACATTATATTCTATATCTAGATTATATTCTATATCTAGATTATATTCTATACCAAGATTATATTCTATATCTAGATTATATTCTATATCAAGATTTTATTCTATATCAAGATTATGTTTCTATATCTAGATTATATTCTATATCTACATTATATTCTATATCTAGATTATATTCTATACCAAGATTATATTCTATATCTACATTATATTCTATATCTACATTATATTCTATATCTAGATTATATTTCTATATCTAGATTATATTCTATATCTAGATTATATTCTATATCTAGATTATATTTCTATATCTAGATTATATTCTATATCTAGATTATATTCTATATCTACATTATATTCTATATCTAGATTATATTCTATATCTAGATTATATTCTATACCAAGATTATATTCTATATCTAGATTATATTCTATATCAAGATACTCGGAGCTCTTTACAACACAATCTGTGCCTTCATTGACCTCTTCATACATCACTCTCTCCAAAGTTAAATCATTCTAAAGAGACTAATCAGAGCTTTAGATCACATGACCCGATGGGACACACGTCAGAGGCAATGAGGGGTTCAGTGTCTTGCCCAGGGACACTTGGGCATGTGACTGCTGGTGGATTCGAACCCCCAACTCTCCCATTGGAGGATGACTGCTCTAATAGTAAACATTCAGATTATTAATCTGGAGTCTTTTACAGTTTCCTCGTCGAAGCTTTGAGGCGTCCGGCTGAATCTGGATCATTTCTCGCTCCGTCACAAGAAGACTGAGATGAAACTCTGACCTGAGGAGGACAGCGGCAGCTCTGCGATCACAGCCTTCAGCCCCATGCTGGAAATGTCCCTCAGCTGCTCCTTGTCTGACGTCATGTTTGCACACAGGATGTCCACCATGGCCTCCACCTGAGGCTCCTTCACCTTACCCACCAGAGGAGCCAGACTGAAAAACATCGGACACTGCGCTCAGCGGCTGCAGCAGAACTCTTTCATTCGTTTGGATCGTGAGGTTTCTGAAGACCGGGAGCGTTGTTACCATTTCACAGCCAGGTTCTGCACCTCTCCGTTCTTGTCCTCCAGCAGTCTGAGCAGCATGTCCACCACTTTCCTCTCGCTGTCCTCGTCCAGCTTAATGCTGTCCTTCTGCAGCTCCAGCATCAGGTCGTTGGTGGCCATGAACCTGGACACGTCACGATGACGTTTTAATGTTTTAACTGAAACAAGAAGTCTGACGCCACACCAATGTTCGAAGGCCCCTCTGTGCGATAAATTAAGATTTAAAAGGTTTGAATTGTTTGTTAAATCTTTACGACCTCATGAAATATGCTGCTGCGCTCAGAGCGTGTGTTGTGAATGACTCTCAGCTACTACCACACCACATTCTAGCTCAATATCTGTAAAACTGACTGAGCTACAGACATTTTTGTGATGACTAAGGTCGATTAGCTGTGGCGGCCATCTTGAATCAAAGCTCCAAAAGTTGATCAGTTCTGAAAACTCTGGGATATTTTGCTAACAGACTGCAACTATTTAATACCAAAATTTATATTATAACTATAGAGCTCATATAATGTGACGAGGATCAATCTCAGCTACTACCACACCGATTTTTAGCTTAATATAAGTAAAATGCTCAGAGTTGTTGCCATTTTTGTGCTTTCTAAGATGAGTTGGCTGTGGCGGCCATCTTGAAAGGTTCTACCTTCAAATGTTAAAGGTTTATAGATGGTCATCTAGTAATTACTTCCTGACAGTTTCATTAAAATTCGTCCTGTGGTTCATGAGAAATTTCACTAACAGACAGAAAGACAAAGAACGCCTTCCAGAGGCGGCCGATAAACAAAAACAAATAAAATATTCCTCACATGATGACGTCAGACTTTAAAAGCGTCAACTCACTGCAAGAGCTGCTCACAAACTTTTTTTTTTTCTTCTTTACCTGAAGTCTTTGTCAGTTGATGTCATTTTCTCCAACAAGTTGGAGATGTGGTAGGACACGTTCGACATGCTGGGATTTTAACAGAGACCGTCGCCAAAACAAAAACATTTACTAAAGATTCACCCCGACAACAAGGCGAGGCTGGTGGGCAGAGAGAAGACCCGCAGCGGTGGAACCCGACACCTTGGTGCGGATAAAAATAGACGCCAGGTCAAACTGTTTGTGGGTTTATGGCGCCCTCGTGTGGACAGACGGGGTAATGCGGTAAATTTGTAATTTACATAAATGTGTTTTGGGGTTATGGCGCCCTCGTGTAGACATGCGAGGTATTGCGTCCATGTCGCCATTAGAATTTTTTTTTTTTTGATGTACTGTATAAGATAAGATCCATCCATCCATTTTCTTTACCCGCTTATTCCATTTTGGGTCACGGGGGTCGCTGGTGCCCATGTCCAGCAATCACTGTGCGAGGGGCGGGGTACACCCTGAACGGGTCGCAAGTCCATCACAGGGCCACACAGAGACAAACGAGACAAACAATCATTCACTCTCTCACTCACACCTAAGGACAATTCAGAGTTACCAATCAGCCTAACATGCATGTTTTTGGTCTGTGGGAGGAAACCGGAGTACCCGGAGAAAACCCACGCATGCACGGAGAGAACATGCAAACTCCACCCAGAAAGGCCCCTAGACCGGGGTTTGAACCAGGGACCTGCTCGCTGAGAGGCAGCAGCTCTACCAGTTGCGCCACCGTGCTGCCCATAAGATAAGATAATATAATTAATTTTATTGATCCCGCAGGAAATTATTGTGCCAAAGTTTCAGTACAAAGGAACATACACAAGAATCACAAGATACAAAAATATCAGAGAATATAAAAATGCCAATAATTAAGTTTTAAACAGGTGCAGACAAAAACATTAAAGAGTTTATTGTAGTACAGGATTAATTGATTATTGTCCTATGTGCAGAAAGGGGAGGAGTTGAAAAGCTTGATAGCCACAGGGAGGAAGTATTATCCAAACATCAGCTGCAGTAGCAATTTCATAAACTGTAAAGGTTTTGTTGTTTTAATAAAAAGTTTCAAAATTTAGGTAAAACGGGCAAATAGTGTAAAAATGTCAAATAAAGAGATGTAAAATAAGCTCATGCAAACCGTGTTTTTATGTCATTTTATATAGAGAAAGAATCAGAAAATTATATTTTACACTTTGAAGCTTTTACCAAGAAAATGTCAATGGTTATTGGTAATATTCTAATTGAAATTTATGGTATTGAAGTTTTTGCATTCAAGCACAAATTAAAAGGGGTTAAGTAATAATTAGGGGGAAAAACTCTTGTGTGTAAAAACAATAATCTTGGTCTGCTGCCTTCATACATCTCCTCCTACATGTCTCTGCATGAGTGCAGCTACAGCGTGCGCTCTCAGGACATTATTACCTGCAGTGTTCCCTCAATGAGGACTGATCTAGGCAAAAGGGCCTTCTCCTACTCCGCTCATGTTTCCTGGAATATCTTACAAAAAGATTTGAAGCTCTCGACCTTGACCTCTCTAAGTGGCTTTAAGAATCTGTTGGACTCCTGGCAGGGACCAATGCAGACATGTTCCTGTTTTTAGTTTTATACATTCGCCTTAGAATCTAGCTGTTTTTTTGTTTTTTTTGTTTTTGTTACCTTTTCCTTTTAGCCACCCTATTTGTAAAAAAAAAAAAAACTGCAGTATGACTTTTTATAACTGTTTATTGTTGTCACTGTTGTCCATTGTTGTCATCTTTCTTTGTTGAAATCAGGTCTCTCTTGTAAATGAGTCCTCGAGGCTCAATGGGATTTACCTGTCTAAATGAAGGTTGATTGATTGATTGAATAAACGTTACTGTGAAAACCTTTCTTAAAATTAATAGGAATAAGAATAAATAAAAAAAGAATATAAATCATTTATTTTATTCTTTTTTTAGTTGTGCTATATATAAGAGATAATACTGTACTAAATATTGAATTATTTCCATTATTATTATTGGTTATCTAGTGGCAAAATAACGTGAGTAAGCACTTATTTTATTATTATTATTATTAGTAGTAGAAGTAGTAGTAGTAGTAGAAGTAGTAGTATTAGTAGTAGTAGTAGTAGTAGTAGTAGTAGTATTAGTAGTAGTAGTAGTAGTAGAAGTAGTAGTAGTAGTAGTATTATTATTAGTAGTAGAAGTAGTAGTAGTAGTAGTAGTAGTAGTAGTAGTAGTAGTAGTAGTAGTAAAATAAAATTTTATTGTTAATTTTTTTTTTGTTTTTGGATGACAGTATGTGAACCGAACCTAAATGCTTCCCCACTCTGTTTGTTTATAATTTCCTAAAGTTCATTGTATTTTTATACATGCGTTCTTCTGGAAATTGGTAACAAGTTTTCTAACTGTGGGCTTTTCCGTATGTGGAACCATTGCTTGGCTGTTTTGTTTCCTTCCGGGGGAAAAAAAAAAGGCGTGGGACTCGGCGGAAGCGGCGCCTGTACTTGTTGCCACGTCGGAGTACTTTGGCGGACCAGAGTAATTCATTTCAAAGAGAGAAGAAGGAACTTTTTCGAGTGTTTAACCGAAGTCATGGTGAGTCTGATAACTTTTTATTCCGGGTTCAGACCAAGTTCTTGAAGGACGTTTGTAATTTTTACCGATAACTGTCAGCTTTAGTCGCGATCAAACCGTTAGCTCAGTAGCTAACGACTGAAGGCTAACCTCTTAATTTGTAAATAATTGTGCTTAATGTTGTGTTTTATGATTTGTCAATTAAAGGTTTCCGTTATTAACACGGTGGACACCTCGCATGAGGACATGATTGTAAGTATTCTGGTTATTTATCATTTTTATGTCTCAAGCTTGAAGCTAATGCTAGCATGAAGTTGGTTTGCATTACAGTGTAGTAGTTGCATCATTGTCACAAACACACAGGTTTATGTAGTAAATAAAATAAAAAAACAACTATTTAAACACTTCACAGCGTAGTGCGGCTTGTTTGTCACTATATGTGTTGAGTTTCAAATGGCAGCTAATTTGAGAACTGTTGTTTTGTCTGACTTATGAAATGTAAAGATTCATCACTTATTTGTCCTTAACAGTGAAAATAATTAGAAGAGAGTCCTGATTTAACTTTGTTAGATTTTTCTACCTGGATTATTGAGCATGCATCAGGATAGAACAGAGTATTGGAAGTCTTTGTTTGGATTATTTGATAGTGTTAATTCTGATCTAAGATTAAACCTAAAAGAACTCTTGTGTTTTAAAGCTTCAATTATAAAAACTGTGTTAAAATTGGTTGAGACTTAAGGAAGTCATGAATATTTTAGGGGTGGGGGGAGATTTAAAAAAAAGAGAGACGTGAATTTCTCCTTGGATCCTTCAAATTCTGGGGCTTCAGAAATCATATTTGGGTCAATGTGTGAATTTTGATCGCTGAAAAATATTAAATGTCTGCTTAAAGATATAAATAGTGGATTGTAACGTACCTAGAGATTTGATTACGTCACATGTTGGTTGTGTGATAAAGGTTTAGGAAACACATTTCAACACTTATCTAATGTTTTTGTTGAACGTCACAAACTCATTCAGATTTGTTTGGATCTTTTGCTGCAGCGAACGTGGAAATCAAAAACAAGTGGTGCCGTTCTCGTTAACTTTCTTTCTTTCAGCACGATGCCCAGATGGATTATTATGGGACTCGACTCGCCACCTGTTCCTCGGACCGTACCGTCAAGATCTTTGATGTCAGGAATGGAGGACAGATTCTTGTGGCAGACCTCAGAGGGTAAAATAATCTCAAATACACGAGAGGGCGAAAACTTAAGAAAACACTTGGTTACTTTCATGAATGCAAAGATATCGAGCATTAAAAATATAACATTAAATTAACATTTAACACAAGTTTCATGGGTGTGTCTGAATTTTGCAGCCATGAAGGCCCGGTCTGGCAGGTAGCGTGGGCTCACCCCATGTTCGGCAACATTCTGGCCTCCTGTTCCTACGATCGTAAAGTCATCATCTGGAAGGAGGAGAACGGCACCTGGGACAAGATGTACGAGTACACCGGACACGAGTCGTCAGGTTGGGAGTCCACCGTGATAAACACATCACTGTTCTGGTGATTTGAAAAGGTCTCCTCTTCTTCCTCACTAACAGCACTCTGAGGCTGCAGAGGGATTTGAGGTTTATAACAGATTTTTAGATACTGGCGTCTCTTTGGTTTTAATTTTCTGATCAGTTAACTCTTTTCCTTAAAGGCTGACTGATCTCTTTAACTTGTCGTCTATGGAGGAATTGATTTTAAAATAATTTTGATGTCAGAAGAAGTCAGTCTTGTTACTTTATCCTGATTTTCTTCCAGTGAACTCAGTCTGCTGGGGTCCCTATGAGTTCGGGTTAATCTTGGCCTGCGGCAGCTCCGACGGGGCGATTTCTCTGCTCACGTTTACTGGAGATCAGCAGTGGGACGTGAAGAAGATCAGCAACGCACACACTGTGAGTTCAACTTCAAATACGTTCCTCATCACCACTGGATCCTTTCGGTTTAAATTCTTTTCTTAGTTTTTATTTTTCCGTATGTTTTTTTGCCGTCCCGACTATTTCTGCACACGTATCAAACCTTTCAGCTCGTTGCTGTGACTTAGTTTTGTTTTTTTGTAACTTTTATACTTTTCACAACATTTAACTTTATTTAAAGTAATGTTTCTCATAAAATACATTGAGATCTCTGCGATTTTTTTATTCTTTTTTTTTTTTTTTTTTCTTTAGCACACACACTTTTTTGTCTTCCTAGTATACCTTATCTTTTATCTAGCCTTTTGCTACTTTTAGCTAACATTTGCTACTTGTGGCTTTTAGGTGGTATTTTTGGCTATATGAGTATTTGACTACCAGTACTCTTTATGTACTTTTAGCTTTGAGGCAGGACTTTGCTACTTTTTTCTTTTTGCTAACCCCTTGCTACGTTTAGTTTCAAGCTAGCCTTTTGCCTCTTTTGATTCTGCTTCTTTTTTGTTGAGCCCTTGGCATTTACTACATTTTCACGGAAAATGCCATTTCTCTGCTCTGACGTGTTTGTTTTGCGTGTCAAGTGTCTTGAATGACGAGCCGTGTTTCTGCTGCAGATCGGTTGTAACGCAGTGAGTTGGGCTCCTGCTTTAGTTCCAGGCAGCCTGATCGATCAGCCGTCGGGGCAAAAGCCAAACTACGTCAAACGCTTCGTCTCCGGAGGCTGCGACAACCTGGTCAAACTCTGGAAGTATGTTTCTGTCCAGCAGAGCTTTAGTGGTTCTAATGGGGGGGGGGGGGGGGACAAAAGTCGGCAAACCTTAAAATCAAATTTTTCTTTTATTAAAATCGAATCATTCCTGCAGAGAAGAAGACGGTCAGTGGAAGGAGGACCAGAAGCTGGAGGCGCACAGTGACTGGGTGAGAGACGTCGGCTGGGCTCCTTCCATCGGTCTTCCCACCAGCACCATCGCCAGCTGCTCCCAGGTGAGATTCAACAAAATATCATTTCTGGTTTTATTAATCAAAGACTAGACTTTGCTCTAAAGATCTAAAAACTGTTTATCTTAACAACTTTTCTGCATTTCATTAGCAGTTAATTTAAAACTTCTGTGTGTAATTACACCTCTTTACCACTAGATGGGGCCAAATATTACACTTTCTAACCTCTTTAGAGCAAACGGCTGAAAAAGACTAGAATGATTGTAGCATTATTTCTTTATACAATATATTGTAATCTCAACTTTTATTTAAAGCAGTTCTCAAACTTTCAGGCTGATGATCCACAAAACCATAGTGAGAAACTCTTAAACTCTTGTCACCGCACCAGAAGCAATTATTATTAAGATTATTGAAGGACCTCCAATCAGTTTTTCTTGTCCCATTCCAACTTACACTTATTTAAATCGCACCATTCTTTTGCTTTCATACAATTTGAACTTTTTAAAGTGTTTATTGGGTTAAAAGTAAATGCATACTCTCTGGGCTTCTTCCAGGATGGACGCGTGTTTATTTGGACATGTGATGACCCTGCAGGCAACACGTGGACGGCCAAATTGCTCCACAAGTTCAACGACGTGGTTTGGCACGTCAGCTGGTCCATCACTGGAAACATACTGGCTGTTTCAGGTGGAGACAACAAGGTAAAGTTTGACCAATTAAACAGCCACTTTACCCCTCTAACCTCCATATTTCCATTAAAAATAACGTAAAACATTTTTCACCTTGTGTTGCTAACCTCATTTTAAATTAGACGTAAATGTGGAGCTTCTGTTGTTCCTTAAAAGGAAATGTTAAAGCTTGTGGTTTTCTAAATTCGACACACCTTTATGCGTTTTCTTTTTCCTAATGCTGCAGCTTCTTGTTTATCGTAGGTGACGCTGTGGAAGGAGTCGATGGATGGCCAGTGGGCGTGTATTAGTGACGTCAGCAAAGGCCAGGGCGCCGTCTCAACCATCACAGACACGCAGCAGATCGAGCAGTGACGAAGCCGAACGTTAAAGTCAACCCCCGGTGCCCACGACGTTGACCCCAGCCTTAATATGACAGAGACGCTGGACGTTTGGACCGATGAGAACATGTCCAGAGTGATGTCTTAATCTGTTTCTGAGTGCTGGACGACCGCCACAATTCCACAATTTATTTTATTTTCTCCGTATTCTGGATGGAAAATAATCATTTTCAATTCAAACATTTGTTTTTTTTTTCTATTTTGATGTTCAGAAATCCAAATCTCAGTTTCTTATGTGGCAACATCTTTTTTTAATCATCACTCCAGTTAATATGTGGTTTGTCCATAAGTTGTATTTAAATCCGACAGAACAATTCCTTCAAATATTCTGTTTTGGTCGTTTTTCAAACATTTTGATGCGTTTCCTGAAAAGTCTGCGAACAAGGTGACATTAATCGGAGGTTTAAACTCAGAAAATGACTTCTTGATTGATTAGGACTCACTTCTCAACAGGTTCATCATAAACCTGCTTCAATCGGTTTCAGTGACGGACAGAAATTAACAGCCGAAGTGGTTGCCAGGGCAACTACAAATGGAAAGTAATCGTGAACAGTGTGGGAGTTTTCGCTCCCAGGAGTAAAACCACAAACCTTTATTTCATATGTGATGTAATTAAATAATTCTTAATGTTATATGTCTTTGCAGTCTTTATGTTTATTATAAACCTAATAATTAAATAAAAATAATTTTTCTGCAGATCTGTGCTACGGAGCCCCCAAAGAGACATCAAGGATTGTACAGTATTTTTGTGTTTCCACACAATACTTTAGTGTTGCCTCTCTGACAACAACAATGGAACAGTCTCTACGTGTGTTTCAGGTTCATGGAGTTTTGTTTTAAATCAGTCATAGATATTCAGTCTGTGCTTGCCAAAAGGCACGTGTGTCGCATCAGTGAGCGATATTTAAAAAGAATACTTGGTGTAAGAGGACACAGTACAGGGAATATTCTGGCTTGTCGGGAGAGAACTTCAGTCTTCTGGACAGCTTCATGGTTATGGCTGGATGCGTGCCCAAACCACACAACATGGACTTTCTGTGAGAAGAGAGGATGTGCATGATGTCATGAGGGGACCGGATCCACCCGGAGTGTAAGTCAAGCAAGAAGGAACTACAGTACTTGGTAAACAGTCTGAATTTCATTTGGTACTTAAACTTAACAAATCATGTGGCGTTACGCAACAAATAGTGACCTGAACTCAATCAGAGGATGTTGCATTGAGGCAGTGCAGCGTTTGGAGGGGACAGAAAACATTTCTGTCAGAGACTTCCAGCGTTCGCTCCGTCCCACTCAACCCAACAACAATTACCTGGAAGGAGCAAGAACAAACCAAAGAGTCCAACACTGGTTTCTTCATATGACGTGCATCGAGTTGTGGCTGGTCCTTGTTTGCTGAGAACAGATTGTTTGATGGTGGCTTCTGGACAGAAGCATCATTTAGCTGCATGGGACCCATACAGGTGGGTTAGTACTGACTTAGTGGAGGCGGAGCCTCACCTGTTACGAGACATGAAAAGTAAAATAATCATCATATTCATGTATCAGTACCATGTGGACCTGGAGTTCCTCCCACTGCTCATTTGTGGAACGGACTCCCTGTGATTCTGTTTTGTTTCATTATTTCTTTGTTTTGCGTATTTGCTTTACCTGTTTTTTTTTCTTGCATTTCATTATCTTTCTCTGTACAGCATCCTTGAGTGTTTGGAAAAACGGCCTAAATTGAATATATTATTAGTTAGTAGTAGTAGTGGTAGTAGTGGTAGTAGAAGAAGTAAAGCTAATATAAATCATCATTGAAAATTACAACAATTTTCTGCGGGATCAATAAAGTTCTATCTTATCTTAAGAGCATGAGTCCACTCAGTGCCCTGACATGACTTCTGTTGTGACTTGGTGCTCTATAAATAAATTTAATTGAAGTTTCCCGTTTCCAGCTCGTCCAGAACGCTGCAGCAGGAACTCGTAGGTTGAAGCACATTTCACCAGTTCTGTCTTCCCTTCACTGGCTCCCTGCACGTAACAGAATAGATTTAAAATCCTCCTGTTGACCTTTAAACGCATAAATGACCTTGCACCCTCATTTCTCCCTGACCTACATATGTTCCTTCTCGGGCGCTGAGATCATCTTTTGGTTGTTCCAAAAACCAGATTGAAGCTCAGAGGAGATCGAGCTTTTTCAGTCGTGGGCCCTAAACTCTGAAACAATCTGCCCCCCCAAGTTAGACAGGCCACTTCACTTCCTGCTTTTAAATCTCTTTTAAAAACACGTCTGTTTTCACTGACTTTTCACCCAGTGTGATTTGATTTAATATTTAATCATTTTTGAGTTTTATGTTTTTCTTTTGATGCTTTAATTTGTTTATTTTCTTTGAATTACTGACATTGATTTTTATTGTGAAACACTTCGGTAACTGCTGCAGTTTTTAAATAAATTTGACTCGACTCTACCCTTTTTTTTTTTTTTTTTTAAATCAGTTCCAGTTTGTCCAGTTTGCCTGGACTATCTACTTTACACTTGCCCCTACCCTTATTGTAACACGGCGGTAAAGCCATCCCTGGATTCAGAAGCTCTCGCCCAAATCCAGAGCGCTCGATAACCTGTATTTGTGCATGCACCGTTGCGTGTGGCCCTGCTGTTTGAAGGAGAATAGCGTGTAAAAAAGCAACATCGCACGTAGATTTTCTTACTTTGATTCCACACTTTTAAAGCAAGTTTCCCACCAAGTTTGAGGAAAGTCATCTGTGGGGTTTTAAAGATATTATCATTTGACTGCACTTCCACGCACAGCGTTAGTCTCTTTGTGTTTGTGGGCGACTGAAATACAAAAACAACATCAGCACCACACGTTTGACTTGTGCTCAACTCATTTAAAGGATGTTTCTCACCAAGGTTGAGGAAAATAAAATGCAGGGTTTTAAAGAAATTTCAACTTTAATGTGCGTTTGTAAGCGCATGTAGTGTGTGGACGTGCACGGTCCCGGTCCAGCCATAAAGGTTGTTGTAATCGAGCACTCTTGATTTGTGAGGTTTCTGAATCTGGGGATGGCTTTACCGCTGTCTTATGTTGCAGCCCCTCAGACTGAAGAAGTCTTCTGGATAAACAACAAAGAACTCGTCCAGAGGACCTGGTTAGATCCATTCACCTGGATTATTGAGCATGCATCAGGATATTCACGTCGCCTGAAGTGTTTTGAATAAAACTGTGACCAGATCTTGTTGAAATGTACTTTTTACATGTGCAATAAAAAAACGTACCATTCTTTGCTGTGATGAGTGTTTGCTGTGTTTTAACTTTGTTACTGTCTATTATTAGCTGTAAACAGATTAATCTGCAGATGTGTTCATTATTATTATTACTACAAGTTCATTATTAGCTGTAAATGATAGCGGATTAATCTGCAGATGTGTTCTTTATTATTATTACTACAAGTTCATTATTAGCTGTAAATGATAGCGGATTAATCTGCAGATGTGTTCATTATTATTATTATTACAAGTTTATTATTAGCTGTAAATGATAACGGATTAATCTGCAGATGTGGAGGCTACTTTAATTGTTTGAACGTGCATGCCTCATGCACACGCACACAGCCAGTGGCAATCATCAACTCTTGCCTGGACATCTCATTTTCTGCAGGCTGGGGCCTGTAACCTGTGCAGAATTCCTCTTTGATGGAATGCACACACCCACTGCCCCCCCACCACCACCACCTGTTTGTTTTGTGGACAGTTTGTCATTAGTGCACACCGCACAGCTTGCTCGAGGTAATGAACAACTTTTACGAGGTACAGTCGTGCAAAATAATTTAATCCCAGATGTGCCCTCGGGAATTCCACATCAGATTATTGTCTATAAACTAAGGCCAAACATTTCATTAAGAAAAATGTAAGTTCTTTTTGTCACTTATTATGTGCAGTTTGACTTGCAGCTGCTTCTCTTCCTCTTTTTTTATTTACTTTTTCAAAATCTTCCTCTTTGAAACCACATCAGGAAGAAAGGAACTATCCAGTCCTGAGACACGTCCTCGTGACTGCTGCTCATCATTTGTGCACCACAACTCATTCATTTCAAATAATTTAGAAAGTGAAACAAATGTGATCGTAAACGGATGAATGAAGTGACGCCTGTGACGTTTGAGTCTGATCTCAAGTGGAGACCTGCAGGAAGTGTGCAGCTGACAGTGGGGGCTGGTGGGAGTGTTTTAGCTCATGTTCAGCTCTGATAAAAACACTTCCTGTTGTTTAACCAGTCCAGTTTGCTTCAGCCTCTGCTGACACTTGGACTGCTGCAGCTTTCAGCTCAACTACGGCTGTAAGTATTTCACTTCTACATTTTCCCTGATGATCATCAGTATTCCACAAACAGGAAACAAACAGTGAATTAATTCAGTTTACACTTTGCAGACTGAAATTTACTGCTGCAGATAAAATATCTTTATGCAAAACGTTTCTGCCCTTAAGCTGCTTTTTTTTTTTTTAAATAACGTTTAACACAATGAACCATGACGATGTTCAGTCAGCTGAAGTTTGGGTGCTTGTTACGCAGCTTTAACTTGAAAATAATTTTGTTTAAGTGTTCAAAAACTTAGATAACTTTGTAGACAATGAGTTTGTTTCTAAGGATTAAATTATTCAAACTAAGTAGCCACAAAAAAGGCATTTCTTTTCAAATAGTCCAGTAACTTTCCAACAAAGTTCAGTCAGTTTTTTGCTGAGACGTTTCATCCTTCATCCAACGGACTTCATCAATCCAAGTAACCACAACAAACTTAGCCCCACAAGCAGCACACCCACATAGTGGACCAACCAGTTTGCTGGTGATAAGATGGTGTCTGGGGCCCTCCGTCTCCTCTGAGGCAGCCATATAGTGGCTCAAAACATCAAAGTTCATGCTCAATAATCATTTCAAGACGGAGGACGAATCAGGATGAAGGACAAAACGTCTCAACAAAAGTAAAATAAATAAACCGTCCGGATGACCTGACTGAACTTTGTTGGATTTTCTGCCTGGATTATTGAGCACGAACCTTGATGTCCAGTCATTTTATTTTATCTGAACAAATACCTGGACGGAAATTAAAAACCAACAGGTTATTTACAAAAATAAATATTAGAAGACCTTCAGGAACCAATGCTAAAGACCATTTTAAAAAAGTAATCTGATTCCTTGAAAACAAAAGTTAAAAAAAAATGATCATTACTTTAAAACTTCTGTACGATGCTTTCATTTTCCATTTGATAATTTTATTGCTTTTTTTTTTTACTAGTGACCATGTTTAACCCTCCTGCTGTCCTTGTGTCAAAACCTCCTGAGGCCTTTGTCTTAAAACTGAGGCCTCAAGAGCCGTTTTGACCCAAGGACAGCAGCAGGGTTAGCAAAAGCGTTTTATTAATGTGAAACTGAAACAATCCACTGACCAAAGTGTGGCTATTTCTCAAATTCGTCACAGTCTGTCTGCTTCAGTGCCTTCTTATTAGTAATTTTCTTTTATTTGTAATATGAACTAAATGTTATTTTCATACTCATACTTTGTTATATTATCTTTTTCCCTCCTTAATGAAGTCAAAATGAAAGTAGCGGCCTTCAATGTGAAGAACCTGGGGCTTAAAAAAGTCTCAGACAGCTTCGTCTCCGATCATCTTATCCAGGCAATGATCGCTGATTTTTATCTATACACAACGTTTCAGCACAAAGTTTAACAATGAACCATTAAAACACAAAAATGTGTTTGTCTCAGATCATCTCTCGGTACAGCGTGGTGGTGATACTGGAGGTTGTGGATAAAGACAACAAAGCTAAGAAGATGCTGCTTGAGAAACTCAACAAAACTTCGTGAGTTTGAACTTTTTATCAACAAGAGAAGCTGAATTTTCTGTGAACATTCAGTCCGAGACAGAGACTCACAACTGCCATACATTTGACCGTTTTTATTTTAGGGAACATTCCTATGAAATGGCCTACAGCTCCAGTCTGGGTCGAGACACCTACAAGGAGCAGTTTGTTTATTTCTACAGGTTGGACTCGATTCATTCACTCTAATAAAGTCGGGGTTGTTGGTGATGGTAAATTATCGTCACAGTGACCGTAATGATCGGCGAAAAAAAAAAAAAAAAACTGTGTTCCTGCTGGAACAGAAATACACTTGTGACTTTTGTGCCTCTCAGAAGAGACGAGGTGGAGCTGGTGAAGAATTATCAGTACAAAGACAATCAGCCTGGAGACGAAGACGCTTTTGCCAGGGAGCCCTACATCCTGCACTTCAGGTGTCTCAACACAGGTGTGTTTCGATGTTTCGGGAACATTTTAAAATCAAGATCAATGCTTGAAAGTAAAGGTGTGTGCTATTTGTGCCCAACTCTTCTACCATCACAAGGAAGGCTCATCTATAACCTTTTGTAGATGGGAAGGGAAGTTCTGGCCTCCCTTCACTGGCTCCCAGTTCACTTCCAAATTAATTTTAAAATCCTTCTGCATGTTTTTAAATCTCTGAAACATTCTGCCCACTCCTTTCTTGCTGATCTGCTGCAGCCATATGTCCCACAGTGCTCTCTGAGGTCAGCAGACCAGATGCTTTCATTGGTTCCAGGGACTCGTTTTAATTTCAGAGGTTACAGGGCCTTCTCTGTTGCAGGTCCAAAACTGTGGAACGAGTTACCACTGCATGTCGGGCAGGCTCCCTCGCTTACTGTGTTTAAGTCTTGATTAAAAACTTACTTTTACTCCCTGGCTTTTGGCCCTGTACAAGTTGATTTTAACTCATTTGTATTCTATAATTTTAGCCATTTAGTTCTTATCTTTACCTATTTGGATCTATGTATTTAATCTGGTTTCCTTTACATATTTTGTTTTTACTGTACAGCACTTTGGTTGGCCTTGTTGTTGTTTTTAAGTGCTTTATAAATAAAGTGGTATGGTATGGGTATGGGATGGGATGGGATGAGATGGGATGGGATGTATGGGATGGGATGGGATGTATGGGATGGGATGGGATGGGATGGGATGGGATGGGATGGTATGGGATGGGATGTATGGGATGGGATGGGATGGTATGGGATGGGATGGTATGGGATGGGATGTATGGGATGGGATGGGATGTATGGGATGGTATGGTATGGTATGGGATGGGATGGGATGGGATGTCTGGGATGGGATGGGATGTATGGGATGGGATGGGATGGTACGGTATGCTCTGATATTCAAAATGTTAAAAGTAAAATATTTCTTTAAAGTATTTATTTCACAGGTGACTAAACCTTTATCTATGTACTGAAGTAGTTCAGCGTTGCTTTTGAGGTCTAGTCATGATGTTTAGGTCATTGTAAAATCTTGTAAACATTATTAGTTTTGTTTTTATGATAATAAAGTGTTGCAGATTTTATATAAATATATCCTAAATCTTTTTTTTTTTTAGCACAGGCCCTTATCATGATAACTCCCCTGTTATGCTAATTATGTGCTCACTTCAGTCAAAAATGTATTTTGCCTTTGTCTTTAATGTTTTAACATTCATCATTCCTTTCAATTGCATTATTCTAGTGTAATGAAAGTGCTCTAAAGGTTATGACTCCGTCATGTTGCAACAGAGAACAGTTCACATTTTAATCAAGTCTAAAAATGTTCTTCAGTCGCTGAGGCGTGAGTGAGACCAGCTTGGATATTTTCAGGTGGTGCATATTAGTATAAAAACATAATTGGGAAGTTGGATCAAGTACTCTGTTTCGGTGTGTTGAGCGTTTAGGATTCTGTTTCCTGTTTTTGTGTATCCATCCAGTTTTGAAGGACCTGGTTCTGATCCCAGTCCACACCAAGCCTGAGGACGCTAAGAAGGAAGTGGATGAGCTCTATGATGTGGTGGAGGAGATCAGGAAGGAATGGAAGATTGATGTAGGTTTTATAAAATCAGTCAAAATAATGTTCAAACTGATTGAATAAAACACTTTAGCTTAATGTCAGGTTAACTCAGAACAGATAAACTTCAGCCTCTGAGAGTTGCTGTGTTGTCAAAGGTTTTAAAGTTGTAGCTGAATTAATTTTTAATAACTCAAGTGATTCTCACACAGTTGTGTTACCTCACTTTGATTAAGCACATCATCCAGTATAAGGACAGTATTTCTCAAGCCAAATCCAGCTACTTCTCTGACATCATCAGTTCCAATGTTGGCAATTCAAAGACTTTGTTCTCTCTCCTTAACCATCTCCTAACTCATTACCCTCTCACATGGTTTCCACAGAATTTTGCAACTCTCTGATGTCTGTCTCAATGAAAAGATTCTTTCAATTCATAAACACCTTGGACCAAATACCGCCCCCAGCATCTATGTTGAACTCTCCCCTCCCTCCCTCCCTCCCTCCCTCTGTCTTCTCCCTCCCCTCTGCTGATGACATTGCTGACATTATCAGCAAGTCTAAGTCCCCATCCTGTCAACTTGATCCATTTCCCACAGTTCTTGTTAAATCCTGTCTCCCGTCTCTGCTCCCCATCATCACTAACATCATCCACTCCTCCCTAACCTCTGGCATTGTTCCCACAGCTTTCAAATCTGCAGCCATCACCCCCATCATCAAGAAACCAGGTCTTGACTTTACCAACTTCAGTAATCTTCGTCCGATCTCTAATCTGCCCTTTATTTCCAAAGTTCTTGAAAAAGCTGTTGCTAGTCAACTTCACTCTCACCTATCCAAAGATAACATTTATGAAGAGTTTCAATCTGGTTTTTACCCCCACCATAGCACCGAAACAGCTCTAATAAAAATAAATAATGACCTTCTTCTTGCTGCTGACTCTGCTCTTCTGTCTATCCTCATTCTACTGGATTTAAGTTCTGCCTTCGACACAATCTGTCATTCTATCCTCCTCAACAGACTAACCTCCATTGGCATCTCAGGTACTCCGTTAGACTGGTTCAAATCATACCTCTCTGACCACACTCAATTCATTCAGCTTAAATCCTTTCGTTCCCAGTCTTCCCCCGTCTCCACGGGTGTCCCCCAAGGCTCTGTCCTCAGACCCCTCCTCTTCATCATTTACCTCCTTCCTCTAGGTCACATCTTCCGCAAATTTGGTGTCCATTTTCACTGTTATGCTGATGACACACAGCTCTACTTGTCAACAAAACCAAACTCCACCCACCCACCCTCCATCCTCACCGACTGTCTCAATGAGCTAAATCATTGGTTTTCTAACAATTTCCTACAACCAAACAGTAACAAAACAGAAATCATTCTTGTCGGTACTAAAAACTCTATTTCAAAATCAGAACATCTTCTCATCCCCCTTAACAACTCTCTGCTATCCCCCTCGCCTCAGGTCAAGAGTCTTGGTGTCATCCTTGACACCACTCTCTCCTTCACTTCACACATCAACAACGTCACTCGGTCTGCCTATTTCCATCTCTGAAATATTAACCGTCTCCACCCTTCTCTCACACCCCGCTCCACAGAACATCCTTGTTCACAGTCTTGTGACTTCTCGGATTGACTACTGCAACTCCCTTCTTCATGGCCTCCCCAACAAATCTCTCCAGAAGCTGCAATTGGTCCAGAACTCAGCTGCCCGTGTCATCACTCAAACCTCCTCCTATAACCACATCACTCCTGTCCTGCAGCAGCTCCACTGGCTCCCGGTTAAATCACGCATCGTTTTCAAAATTCTTCTTCTCACTTTCAAAGCTATCCACAACCTTGCCCCTCCTTACCTGTCTGACCTCCTACACATCTCCATCCCCTCTCGCTCTCTCAGATCCTCCTCTTCACTACACCTCCATGTACCCTCTGCCCGCCTCTCCACCATGGGGAGCAGGGCCTTCACCTGCTCTGCTCCTCATCTCTGGAACTCTCTGCCCCCTGACTTAAGAAACACCACCTCTCTTTCTATATTCAAGACTGCTCTGAAAACACATCTCTTTAGACTCGCTTATCCTTAACTTTGCTGTATGTATTTTATATTCTTCATATATTTTATATTCTGTACGTATTTTATATTCTTTATGTATTTTATATTTCAATTTATTCCTGTTTATCTTTCACTGTGCTTGTTGTTTGTTTTTACACAATCTTTCTATGTTTCTTACTGTTAAGTGTCCATGGGTGTCCTGAAAGGCGCTTTTTAAATAAAATTATTATTATTATTAACTTAATGTGCTTTTATCTTTGGTTGGCTTTAGCCTTTTGTTAAATGATCTGACTTTCAACATTAATGACGACACACGTGCTTGAGACTCATGTTCTTTTCTTGGCAGAATATTATGATTTTAGGAGACTTCAATGCAGATGGTCGATATCTTTCAGAGAAGAAGAAAGGCTCACTGCGCATCTGCAGTGAACCTTTTCGGTGGCTGATCGACGACAGCGTCGACACAACAACCAGTAACTGCAACGACAACACCTACGACAGGCGAGTCACCTCTGTCACCACGCAGATTTACACCCTGTTTTAAAGAAAACCATTAAACTTTTAATTTCAGTTTGGTAATTTGGTGTAAAAAAAGGATTCATTTCATGTACCGGAAGGGGTTTGGGGTCTTGGTCGTGCATAACTTATTTTGGTCCAAGCTTTGGTTGTCAGACCTCATGTTTGCCACTAGAGTCCTTGGGTCTACAGTTCATGATCGACTCAATGACTGCAAGACGCCCAAACCTTCAGCCCTCCACCGCCGTGCTTCACAGGTGGTCTGAGGTGATCGTGCTGAAAGTGGTCAAACATGGTGTAGCCGAACATGCGCTTCCACTTTTCTTGCCAGCATGTGACGTGCTTTGTCATTTTTTTTAATTAACCTGTTTTCTTCCTCAACTCTGAGGAACTGATTATTTCAGCTAGTAAATAGTAATCATTAGAGAATGTTAGACCCAAAAAACATCCCAAGAGATGACCAAAACCTGCTTTTTTAGTATCAAATCCTGGTTTGTATTACAGTATGTCTGGATGCATGGAGGTTATTTTTTTTACACGACTGTACCTGCATGATCGAAGTTCAACTCTTCAAAGTAATAAGGAAACCAGAAGCATGATAACGTTTATTGTTCTAGTTAATAAACTGCCTTTTGTGAACATTGATTCTGTATTTTTAGAGCAGAAAATAAAAGTTTAGAATTGCACTGTTGACGATTTTTTTTATTTTCTGCAAACAGGATTGTGGTGTATGGAAGTGATATGCTGAAAGCCATCGTACCCAACTCTGCCAGGGCTTTGAACTTTCAGAAAGAGTTCAGTCTGACTGATAAAGACGTGAGATTCATTTGTTTTCTAGGTCTTTCTTTGTCTGACCATCAAAACTGGTTAAATGTTTTAATTTAAAAGAGATACTCAGTGTTGAAATTCATCATGCGTTTGTCTTTATTGTCCAAGGCTCTTCGAATCAGTGATCATTATCCTGTAGAGGTGGAGCTACAGGTGGAGCTGAAAACTAAACCGGAGTCAAAGACTAAAAGTCCAAACAAAGGTACTCTCTTACGTTGGAGTGCGGCTGGTTGATCAAAAAATATCCACCCAACCAGCCACTAGGGAGCACAAGCCAGTGTATCTCTTGTGCAGGTCCTAAGCCTGGGTAAATGGTGAGTGTTGTGTCAGGAATGGCATCCGATGGAAAACATTTTTGCCAAAACCATAATGCGAGTTCATCAAAGCGAAACCATACCGGATAGAAAAAGCATATGACAGAGTGCCAAGAGAGGAGGTGTGGTATTGCATGAGGAACTCTGGAGTGGCAGAAAAGTAAGTTAGACTGGTACAGGGCATGTGTTAGGACAGCAGGACAGTGGTGAGATGTGCTGTTGGATTGACAGACAGCTTCAAGGTGGAGGTGGGAGTGCATCAGAGATCTGCTCTGTTTGCTCTGGTGATGGACGACTAACAGATGAGGTCAGGCAGGAATCCCCGTGGACTATGATGTTTGCAAATGACATTGTGATCTGTGGTGAGAACAGGGAACAGGTGGAAGAGAACTTGGAGAGGTGGAGGTATGCACTTGAAAGAAGAGGAATGAAAGTCAGCTGTAGTAAGACAGAGTCCATGTGTGTGAATGAAAGGAAGGAGGTGGAACAGTGAGGCTACAAGGAGCAGAGGTCACAAAGTTGCAGGACTTCAAGTACTTGGGGTCCACTGTCCAGGAAAATGGAGAGGGAGGTAAAGAAGTGAAAAAGAGAGTCCAGGCAGGATGGAGTGGATGGAGAAAAGTTTCAGGGGTGATTTGTGACAAAAAAGGTGTCAGCAAAGGTCAAAGGAAAAGTTTACAAGACAGTGGTGAGACCAGCTATATTGTATGGTCTAGAGACTGTGGCATTGACAAAAAGACAGAAGAACTGGAACTAGCAGAAATGAAGATGCTAAGGTTCTCCTTAGCAGTGACAAGGATGGATAAGATTAGTAATGAGATCATCAGAGGTACAGCACAGGTTGAACAACTGGGAGATAAAGTTAGGGAAGCCAGACTGAGATGGTTTGGACATGTCAAGAGGAGGGACAGTGGGTATACTGGTAGAAGGATGTTAGAAATGCAGCTGCCAGGTAAAAGACAAAGAGGAGATATATGGATGCAGTTAGAGAGGACATGAAGGTGGTGGTACTGAGGCTGGAACCCTGAAGAGCAAAGAGATGATTAGAGTTCTTGTAGTCAAGTGTGATAATGTTATTGCTGGTCCTGCTTATGATGGAGATCAAGGTCAAACATGGGAAGAGCTGACCCAAATGGTTCCAGGAAAAGGAGGTGCACGTCTGAACAAAGGCAGACGTTCGGCAAGTGGTAGGAAGGTGTGGAGGCAGCTGAAGAGGCGCAGAGGAGCTCGAGGTCCACAGAGGAGGATTCATGAGACAGGAGGACATCACGGGTTAATCACTGGAGGTGCAGAGAGAATACAAAATCATTAATATTTGGTTTTAGACACGAATAAAAAGCTCAAACAAGATACTGTTGGCAGGTAGCGCTCCAGCGCTGGCTGAATGTCTTCTGCAGCCTTTTATGCTCCTCATGCTCATCAAGCTGATGATCCTCAGGTGCTGCTGGTTAGAGTCTGGCTGTGGGTGCTGGAGCTGCAGAGCAGAACTCCCACAGTACAGTAACTGGTGCATGGCTGCATTTAGCACGTGCCTTTGTTTACCTGCAGAAACAGCTGAAGCAACTGAAAACAGATCAGCCATGACGACTATAAATGCTGTTTACGTCGAAAATTAAAAAGTTACAACACTAAATTAATGTTTTGAAAAAGCTGCATGTGTTTTGAATCCTGGGCTCTGTCTTTATGGAACTACACCGCCCTGCTCGACCCCCGATGATTCTCCAGGTGTGCCGTGCTTGTTTACCTACGCAGATTATGGTCAGCTTAATCAGTCACGTGACTCGAGCTTCCACACGGTGCTTTGTTTACGCTGAGTGCGTTCCCGCATTCCAGACACGTATATCAATATTTACTGAAACCTACTGGAGTAAACTCCTTCAAACTGCACAGTTTCATATTCAGGATCACTTTGTCATGTTCTCTATTTGCAATGAGTGCCATTAGTCTTGATCTCCGTTATCTTAATAACAACTTGAACTGAACCGAATTTGAGCGTATTAATCGTTGTCTTCAATCTGTTTCTGTGAACTAACAGGACCCCAGAAGAATGCAGGAGCTAAAAGGAAGCCAGAACAAAACTCTGAAGCCAAGACGTCAGCAAAGAGAAGATAATACGTTCAACAAACGGCTTCTATGAATAATGTTGTAAAGTTAACCTAACAAAAAGCAACTCTTTACTTTTTTAATTTTTTTTTTTTTACTATTTTAATAAGATAAATTTAATCTTTGCATGAAAATCTGTGATTGTTCACAGACTAAAAATATGTTGAAGTTTTTTAGGTGTTTTGTTTCCTCAACAATGCAACATCTGGAGCCAGAACTCATCCTCAAGATCCGTCCGTCCATCTGTCCATCCATCCATCCATCCATTATCTTTACCCGCTTCTTCCTATTCAGGTCACTGTTCCCCTTATCCAGCAGTCACGGTGATTTATATAAATTTGTATAAAAATAAACGTAATAAGAAAATCTGACCTAAAATTCAATTCACTTGTTTTTGTTAAGCTTTAATCCACTGTGGACAAACTTTAGCTCAGACACTGTTTTTGTCTGTCTTCATGTTAAACGTGCTCAGTATGTAACAACAAACATTAAACGGTTTAAAAAAGAAAATTCCTTTTTGTAATTTGTTTTTTTTTTGGTACTGAAAAACGGTTAATTGTCATCAAATAAATTATAATAGATAACTCAAATTTTTAGTTAAACATTAACTCTATGTAAATACACCATACTGTATATTAACATAGATAAGGATAAATTCAATCCATTGATCCATCCAACCATCCATTCTTCCATCCGTCGGTTTATCCATCCATCCATTCATCCATCCATCCAACAGTCCATCAATACAACATCCATTCATCCATCCATCCATCCATCCAAGCATCCATCCATAGAATCATCCATCCAACCATCCGTCCATCCAACTGTCCAACTATCCATCCATCCAACTATTAATTCATCCATCCATCCGTGCATTCATCCAAGCACCTGTCCATCCATCCAACCATCCATTCATCCATCCATCCAACCATCCATCCAACCATCTGTCCAACTATCCATCCATCCAACTATTCATTCATCCATCCATCCATGCATTCATCCAAGCACCTGTCCATCCATCCAACCATCCATTCATCCATCCATCCAACAGTTCATCCATCCAACCATTCATTAATCCATTCATCCAATTGTCCATCCATCTAACCATCCATTCATCCATCCAACTGTCCATCCATCCAACATCCATTCATCCATCCATCCAAGCATCCATCCATACAACCATCCATTCATCCATCCAACCATCCAACCATCTGTCCAACTATCCATCCAACCATCCATCCATTGGTGCATTCATCCAAACATCTGTCCATCCATCCATCTGTCCAACCATTCATCCAACATCCATCCATCCATTTATCCAACTGTCCATCCATTCAGCCTCCCAAGCTTTGGTCTCAGAGTAAGCATATTATTTTATTATACGTTAAAAAGCTCAATTTAAATGCTCTAATCTTGTCAGTTTAATGCAACAATGAAACCTGACTGTGAAATTATTGCTGTTGAAGTGCTGCATGGAGCCATTGTGCTCGTTTGCAACATAATCTGTGAGGTCTTTCTAGACACAAATCAGTATGAAATATGACTAAAAACTGAGTTCAGGTTGTTCAGACAAATTTACCAGCCTGAAGCAAGACAAGGAAAAAGGAACATCAGGTCTTTTGTCTCCTGGAGTTTGGAGTTTTATGTCCAGATCCGTTGCAGTTAATGTAACTCAGAAGTGATAGAAAAGTTTGATTTTTCTTATAACTGGGGGCTGAAATTCAACTTTTAACCGTCAGTGAAACCCAAAACAGACATTTGTTTTACATTAAGCCTGAGAAACATTAGATACCTGATGTAAAGGTTCTGTGGTGCTCCACTTTCTCCCCTCCTCTTGTTACTCCCCCCTGGGGGAGCTTTAAAGGGTCAGAAGACACCTGAGACACCTCATTGTGGACCTGCTGCACTTGTTGCTCCGCTGTCGTTCACTAACTTTGCTTCCAGATCTTTCACTAATTTTTCCATTTTCTTCATCGTCTCACATTTTTATTGTCTTTGCACATCTTTTCCTCATCTCTTCCTCTTTCCCCCCACTACGCTCCTGTCTCCTGCTGCACCATGAGTCTGAGTCGAACCAAGAGGATCAGCTCCAGTAACTCGGTCCGGAGCAGCAGCGGCTCCAGGAGGGTCAGCAGCTTTAGTCCAGGCCAGGGGGGCTTCAGCGGCATCTCTCTGAGCAGTGGCTCTCTGTACGCCGGCACCAACGGGTACCACCAGGGTCTGGGGGCCTCGCTCACGTCCCTGTCGGTCAACAAGAGCCTGCTGGCCCCCCTGAACCTGGAGATCGACCCCAACCTGTCCATGAGCCGAGCCCACGAGAAGGAGCAGATCAAGAGCCTCAACAACCGCTTCGCAACCTTCATTGATAAGGTAAAAAAAAATGGAGCTTATAAGAATAACATGTGGTTTGATAATAATCAAAAAGACAATTATAGATATATTTATCTTTTGAACTGTTGACTCAAACAACAAATAAAAATAACAACAAATAAAAAGTCACAAAACTAAGGTCTTTTTCTTCTATTTTTTTTTTCTTGTTAAGGGACAACTGCAACTTGATTTATTTTTTGAGTTTGAAAAAAAAAGCTTCACAGCTTTCAAAACTTCATGGATTTGTTTTTAATGCCTTTTTTTTCTTCCTTAAAAAGACCAAACAAGTAATCAAAAAGTTCTGCTTCCTTCATCAAAGTGTCTTAGGTTTGAGAAAAGCAAACAGAAATGTTTGTATTCCCTTTGGTAATAAGAAGTCTAAAGAAACTGTGATTATTTATCCTGAAGCGGGGGATGTGCTCGCCAAAGTTCATGCTCATTAATCCAGGTTTTAATTAATCCAGCTCATCTGGACGGCTTCTTTTGTTGCTGAAACGTTTCGTCCTTCATCCAAAGGACTTCTTCAGTCTAAGGAGCCACAAACAAACTGAACCAACACTGGAATAAATTTAGAATAAAGAAAAACAGTAAATAGACTCAGTCATCCAGGTAAATTCTTTTTAACCATTTTGGCCTGGTTGTCCTCGGGCTGGTTCGATGAGTAGTAAGCCGCCATTTTGTCTATAACAGTTGATTGTTGTGCACTGATGATCGATTGTTTTAGACTGATGGTCCTCCTTTTTGCATGTACAAAGCCAGTTTTCTGGGAAATCCACAGCAGACTGGTTTGAAACACGCCAAGAAGGTGCTATTTATACGACAGGTCCTGTTGGCAGGCCTCAGGCTGAAGAAGTCTTTCGGATGAAAGACGAAACGTTTTCTTCCAAACAAGAATCTGTCCAGAGTTGATTTAACTTTTTTCATATTTAGAATAAATTACACTTAAAGCATTGATTACAGGTAACAATTTTATAAATTTTAAGTCGTTTAAAAACTGATACCTAATAAAAAAAAACTAAAACTGTTGAAAAGTAAAAGTAAAGGCTTTCCATTCCTTGAAGTCATGCATGTGTGACTGAGATGATTCAGGATGAGAGCTGATGGAGGTTTAGTCATTTTGGTTGAACTTATCTGGTTAACATGAGGTATGAGGCTCAGCGTTTGTTCTGTATCAGTTAGCTCTCAGATGGTTTGCTGAGAGTGACTCTCAGCTACCACCAGATCAAACTTTAGCTTAATCAGAGTCAGAGATTCTTTATTGTCATTCGCAGCGAAATTATGTACACAGGGTCCCAGTTACATCCAACAATAAAATGTAAAAGAAAAACAATGATAACATCCAAGATGTGAACTAAGAAAAACATAAAAATACACTAATAATTAATGTTAAATTAGCTAAATTATAGACATTTTTAAGGACAGCCATCTTGAAAAGTGTTGTCTCCAAAAGTTAATCAGCTGTACCGCCAGTGATTACTTTCTGAGAGACTCCATCCACTGGTCTAAGAGATATTTTACTAACAATACAGACAAACAAACCCGCACATATCCAGTCTTGGTCAAAAATATGTTAAGTAATAGTTTGTTTAACTGAAGACACATAAAAAAAAACCAACAACAACAAATGTTACCGAGCTTTTTGTTTCTTTGTGGTTCTAAAATGTAAAAGTTGTCAGTGAACGTCAGCAGGGTCCTCGCTGAGGGTCCTGAGGAGTGCAGGGGAGCGTTTCCCACAGATGGAGGAACCGACTCTGCGATATCGCCGGACATCGATACCCTTGTCAGGGAACATGTCTGCTTTCTCACGGAGTGGGTAACGCTCTGACAAAGGAGGCTTTGTCCACGTGTCACATCAGCAGAGATTCTTCATCAGCAAAACTGTGACAAAAAGATGCTCGGGAGGAAGAAGACCGGATGGTTGGAACAACCGCAATAAGATCAGATTCTATTTGGTGTGTTTTATGTCTGTGGCTCCTCCTAATCCCAAATAATTTATGGAAATTACAAATACACACCAATTAAAAGCTCAGGAGAATAAATGCCTTTATTCATAAAGAAGGTGTCACTGACTGGGTTTACGAGGTAAAAACAATGTCTGGTGGTGTATTTAATGTGATGTTCAACACTCCAAAAGATTAAAACACATTATATCAGTTTTAGTTAATAGATTACTGTCTTTGAAAGGCCTTCTTATTATTATACATACAATTAAACACCAACTTTAAAATGTTTTTGGAAGCACTGAGAGGAGCTGGAGCTTTTTCGTGTTTTACAACAAGATATTTTCAATCAAAAAGTGATTAAATTTTAAAAGTCCCTCATTTATATTACAAAATAAGAAAGAAAAAATATGTATAAAGTCGTTTGTTCCTGTACAAGAGCTCCAATTACATGAGATTAGTAGAATATTAGCTGAATTTCTTTTGAAAAATCTTGATTTGTTTTGTTTATTATGTATCAATTGAACACGGATAATAATGAAAAAGTGCTATAAAGACATACGATATATTATTTGAGCTAAAACCAACACAACGTTGCAACAATTACGAAATATAATTAGACTCGGTGAAAGTTAAAAGAAAACAATTTTTAATTCAGTTCCTGTAATCGTCAACGAATGCTGGAATATTCAGAAATCTTTCTATTTAAATTTAAAAACTAAAAGTTGTGAGGTGTCTGCAGCATCTTCATCCTTAGATGGTTCTGTTTCATTCTGAAACGTTGTCCCCGGAGCTTTGGGTCCCAGAAAAGCTGAAACATCCACCCAGGCTTCTAAAATATCAGCAACGGTTATTTCTCCGTCTTCACATCATAATTTTGATTTAATTCTATGAAGAAGCAAAAAAGCCCAAACGTCTTGTACAAACATGAGGATAAAGAAAAGTTGTCTGCAGTAATCTGATGCTCTCGGCCTCTCCTGATGAAATATTAAAGGCCAGATTCTCTCATGCAGAGAAGCAATTAGCCCTCAGACAAAGTTCTTCTTGTTGCAGGACGGTGACCCGAATGAAAGTGGAAACTGTAACAGAATGTAATGGCGTTTATTAACACGGCTTATTGCAGAAGTGGTCTTTAAAAAAATAATTTAAAACCCTGAAAGGAAGGAATCCACCTGGGATTTAAAGATCCACGTCCTGCTCTGATGGAGAGGGACATTTAAGCTTTCTGTCCCATTTCCATCCCATTGACTTGTAACCCGATAGATCCGGTCCGAACCGACGGTGCCTCGGGGCTCCGAACAGAACCCGTGCTTTGTAAACTCGGCTGCAGGCGGGAAACCCGAGCTGCAGAACCAGTTCTGAGCTTCTGAGCTCTGCGTGTCAAAAGATGGATTCATTCTTTGTAGCAACACACTTTTACAGAATCTGCTTGTTTGATTTCAGTGACTTATGAAGATTTTCAACCTCATGGGTGTCTAAAAACAAATGAATAATCTACTAAACATTATCATCTGTCTTAACCCGTGAGCTTCTGGTGTAGCTTTGGATCTGAACAGCAGCAGCAGGTTTCCTGTTGGAAAAACTTCTTCTTTTTATTGTAACTAGAGAAACTGATGCCGAGAGCTGGAATGAGCTAAAGAACCTGAAACTGAGTTGTTAAAACTAAACACAACTTTACCAGGCAGACGCTAGCTAACAAAGAAGCCAAGAGTTACTTTACCTGAAAGTAACAAAGTACTAATTAAAAGTTGAAAGTAGCAAAAGGCTAGCTAAAACTAAAAGTAGCACAATAGATCTAAAAGCTCAAAGTAACATTTTTCATTTAACCTTTATTTATACAGGTAGTCTCATTGAGTCACGAGAACTCGTTTTCAAGAGAGACCTGCTGGTGGGGGTTAAGGGCCTTGCTCATGGGCCCAGAGTGGGGCGAATGAGGGTGGAGGCAGGTGTGGGTGTTTCACCTTTTCCACCCACATTTTGATGTTGACGGTACCGGGGGTTGCACCTACGACTTTCCGATCACAGGCCCATCTTCTCTAAGCTCTGCGCCACCACTTCCCCAACATAAAGCTATTTAAAAGCTAAAAGTAGCTAAATGCTAGCAAAGTGTTCAAAGTAGCCGAAGGCTAACTGAAAGCTAAAAGAAGCAAAAGATTAATGAAATACTAAAAGGTTAAAAGTATGTTTTAGCAACTGTTCTGCTACTTTTAGATTTGATATAGACTTTTGCTAATTTTAGCTTCTAGCTAGTCTTTTGCAACTTTTAGCTATTGTTTTGTTTCTTTCAGCTAGTTTTTTTTTCTAGTTTTATGTTTCAGCAATTAGTGTTTTATTTTTTGTCTTTTAGCTAGCACTTTGTTTAATTAGCTTTCAGCTAGTTTTTTCTTTGTTTGTTTTTATTTAGCTAAAGTGCTGCTTCTTTTAGCCTTTAGCTGGTGTTTTGTTTGTTTTAGTTTTTAGCTATGATTCCCGTTCTTTCTCCTTTTAGCTATTGTTTTGTTTCTTTCAGCTAGTTTTTTTTTCTAGTTTTATCTTTCAGCAATTAGTGTTTTATTTTTTGTCTTTTAGCTAGCACTTTGTTTAATTAGCTTTCAGCTAGTTTTTTTGTTTGTTTGTTTGTTTTTATTATGTTACCTTTAGCTAAAGTGCTGCTTCTTTTAGCCTTTAGCTGGTGTTTTGTTTGTTTTAGTTTTTAGCTATGATTCCAGTTCGTTCTCCTTTTAGCTGTTGCTCAGCTCCTCAGCTTCAGCTTCGTCTGGAAACATCAAACTCCTTCAGTCACACTTTGAACAGAAAATGTCTCTTCTTTGTTTTGTTTGTTTGTTAGGAGGACAAACTGTTTATTTAAATTCAGTTTTCACACGACCCTTTCTTCCTGCCTTGTCCAGGTGCGCTACCTGGAGCAGCAGAACAAAATGCTCGAGACCAAGTTGGACCTGCTGCAGGGTCAGGGGGTCACCCGGTCCAACGTGGAGCCCCTGTTCGAGGCCTACATGGCGGGTCTGAGGCGTCAGATGGACCTGGTCAACAACGACAAGACCAAGCTGGACGGGGAGCTGAGGAACATGCAGGGCTTGGTGGAGGACTACAAACACAAGTAAAGCAGAACCCTCTGGAGTTCTGTAACATCAAGTCTTACAGTCGTTTCACAGATGATCTTTTTCTTCCACAGATACGAGGACGAGATAAACAAGAGAAACAACTTGGAGAACGACTTTGTTATCCTGAAGAAGGTCAGACTTGTTCACTTATATTCAGCCCAGCAGGCGTGGTGTGTAAAAGGAACCAAACTATTGTCCGCTCTTATTGTACTGTGTCACAATTCCTATAGCATATAATCTATAAAGATGTGGGGATTTCTCATGTTGGATTAAATGACAGCAGCCTGATTTTTTTACATTAATGATTGTAAAACTGAAGGATATAGATTATTGTGCTGTAAATTCTTAAATAAACGTTTATTTCAGGGCCTGAAACAAAACCATCTCTCTATGAGCTGCTTTGGCTGTTGCTATGATCAAAACGTTTGTTTTTTTTCATGCTCCTTTATTTATAATAAACTAAATCCTGCCCATTTTTATTCTTTATGAGTATTTCCTGCGAACTGGAAATATTTTATGAGTTATTTAAGTGTTTATAAAACAACAGATAGACCTATCCTATGTGAGTAATAGACGTAAATAATGTAAATTTAGCTTTGAGTCACATTAATAAATAAAATAAATTGTAAATAAAGTTTTGCTTATGTTACTATAGGACCATCCACAAAAATCCTAATTAGTGATAGCACAAACCTTTCACACTAAGTCTTGTAATCCTTAAAGAAAAGCATATCATCCACTCAATTTAAGCCATTTTCGTCAATTTCATGCACGATCTTCCAAGTTATTCATAGTGTTTTGCAAATGATGCTCTGCTACTACATTTAGCTCAAACTCTGCATAGTTACAGCAACTGTTGTGTTGAATAATGTTGATTTTCTGAGGCAGCCATCTTTAATTGAACTGGCTATTGACTTGTTAATTACCGGCACGTTATGAAAGTTTGTTCAAAAATGGTTCATGAGATATTTGGCTAAAAGTACAACATGCACACACAACAAAAACATTATTGCTTCATACCTTTGGTGGCAGTTCAACATATTGTTTTAAGTACAGCACGCCCATATAAATGAGTTTTTAACTTCACTTTACTTCCACGTTGGGTTTCACTCCCAGCTGTGGTTTATAAATAGAATCTGCTGCTCGGGTTTTAAAGTTAAAGCTTCAAATATTTTGATTTTCTCTCCCACATTCCTTCAATTTTGATTCCTAAACTTCAGATAAACCCAGTGTGGGCTCTTCTTTCTTGTACCCAACAAACTCAAGCTTATTAACATTATTTGTGTGAACTGTCTAATGAACATTTTCTTCTCTGTGCGAAAGTTTAGGGGGGTTTATGTTTTCTCATTCTGTGGTATAACTTCAAACGTTTAGCTACAACTGTAACTTAAATAAAAATCCATGCACATAAACAACAACCAGAATATGTATTTGCAGTTTGTATTGCTCAATGCATTACATCATGTTGTACGTAAATGATTTGATTTAATGTAAAATACAGGCTCAGTGACTCAGAGTTGTGTGTTGTCAGGACGTTGACTCGGCGTACCTGGTCAAGGCAGATCTCGAGGACAAGGTCGGAGCCCTGACTGATGAAATCAACTTCCTGCGCAGCGCCTACGAGGAGGTACGGCGTGATTTGTTTAGCATGTTTTAACTTCTTCCTGTGTGCCTGTTTCCCCCTCTGTTTAGTAACTTTCAGGTAACTTCAAGATCAAATTGTTCCTTTGAGATTGAACATAATGTTATTTTCAAGGTTTGAGCAAAACAAATGAGATCTTAATCTAAAACTCTGGCATGAAACCTGGCGGGTAATATGCATTTCTTCAAGTTATGGTGAGCCCGTTATGTACAGGGTTTGTCTTGTTTACTCTTTAATGTTTAGATTTTAGTTCTAAATCCTCAGATTATGATTTGCATTTGGCTTTAAGCTTGTGGGCCAAATATTTCCACTTTGGTTGTATTTCCTCCACCAGGAGCTGCGTGAGCTGCAGGCCAGCATCAAAGACACCTCAGTGGTGGTCCAGATGGACAACAGCCGAAGCCTCAACATGGAGCAGATTGTAGCTGAAGTCAAGGCTCAGTACGAGGACATTGCAGCTCGCAGCCGAGAGGAGGCAGAGGCCTGGTACAAGAACAAGGTAAGTACATATTATTATCCATTCACAGACGTGGACTGAAGCTGCAAATATAATCGTGGACTTTTTTTGCTTACAGTTTGACCAAATGTCCGTGCAAGCCAGCCAGTTCGGAGATGAGCTCCGCATCGTGAAGGGCGAGGTGGCCGAGGTCAACCGGCTGATCAGCCGCCTGCAGAGCGAGATCGAGGCCGTGAAAGCACAGGTACAAGCAAACCTTTGTGGGACATGACTCACATCCTGTGCTGACTGTTTCTTGTCTCATCAGCGCGCCAGTCTGGAGAACCAGCTGGCTGAAGCTGAGGAGCGTGGAGAGATGGCCGTGAAAGAAGCCAAAGCCCGAACCAGAGACTTGGAGGACGCTCTGCAGAGAGCCAAACAGGACATGGCCAGACAGCTGAGAGAATACCAGGTCAGTGAGGAAAAATCACACGTGGAAGGATGAACGACTTGAAAATGGCTAAAGGTAAACCAGGTAAAATACTCTTGTTGTCCTCCTCTACAGGACCTGATGAACCTGAAACTGGCTCTGGACATTGAGATTGCCACCTACAGAAAACTGCTGGAAGGAGAGGAGGACAGGTAGGACAGGAGAGGAGGGTGAAGGGCATAAAATTGTTTCTCTCTGATGCTCACCACAGCAGAAAGTCCAGAGAACCCAACCAAACCCAAAACAGCTAGAGAAATTACATTTTATCTGAAAGCCAAACGTGGAAATAGGCTAGCTCAAAGCTAAAGTAGCAAAAGATAGTTAAAGCTAATAATAGCAAAAGGATGGGTAAAAGTAGCAGCATGGTAGCAAAACGCTAAAAGCTGCTAAATAAGGTTAATAAATGAGGCAGGACAATAAACGAAAGCCAAAAGAAGCAAACAGATAGTGGAAAGCTCAAAAAGCAGAACAATAGCTGAAAGGTAAGTGTTATGTTCTGTTGGTAGTAGAACCCAAAGTGCAAGCAGAGCGGGGAACTCGGGAAAAATAAGGAATTAGTTTATTAAATGAAAACAAAAGGCTGGCATGGCAACAAAAACTTACTCAACATGGAGACATGGAGGAAAACAGGACATGAATCTGACTCTGACTCTGACTCTGACATGAGTCTTCACAGGACAATGCACGACAGCTCAGTGGTTAGCACTGTTGCTTCACAGCAAGAAGGTCCTGGGTTCAATCCCTATTTTGGACCTGGGGTCTTTCTGTGTGGAGTTTGCACGTTCTTCTCGTGCTTTTGTGGGTTTTCTCCAGGTACTCTGGTTTCCTCCCACAGAACAAAAACATGCATGTTAGTCTGCTTCAGGCCCAGACCTCCCTTGCACAGAGATCTATGATCTCAATGGGATTTGCCTGGTTAAATAAAGGTTAATAAATAAATAAATAAATAAATAAACATAAAGACGCAGAATTAAATACCAAACACCAACAACAGATGATAAGAGACACCTGGGGAAAAGACAATTAGGAACAGGTGGGAACAGCAGGAGCTGACACACTGGGAACACAAATCCTCACAAAAGTAGAATAACACGAGCTAAAAGCAGCATCAAATTAGCAAACAGCTAAAAGTACAAAAAGGCTAACTTAAAGTAGTAAACAGCCAACGTAGCTAAATGCTAAAGCCAAGCTACAATTAGTAAAAGATTAGCTAAATACTATTGTATCAGAAGAAAACAAAAATAAAGTGTAGGCAGAAACAGATTTCTAACAGAACAATATATTTGAATGAATTGATCTCTATGCATTTCAATGTGGAAAATATATTATATAAATTATAAAGCCTTACCAAAACCAACAGTCACATCATCCATCTCCTGAACGAGCTGAAAGTTTTAATAAATTCATTAATAAAATAGCGCAAAATATAACTTTTACTTAATAACTTTATTGTCCTTCAAAATTGTGCAGTGCGCCATGAAAAACTGAATGAGATTTTGTAAATAAAATATACAGAAATGCAAAAGCAGTATGGGAAAAGGCTGAATCAGTATTCACAAAATAGTGGATTTTATAAACTTAGTTTAAAAATTATTATTTCAGGTATCTGTTTATGGAGTTACCTTAAAGTAAATAAAAGTTTAACTGCCTGGAATGAACAATTTGTCAGCAATTATCCTGATAAATATGACAAAAGATCACATTTCCCACATAATGGGAACAATTATCAAGCTGTAAACCAGGATGATGTTTGTTAATTCCACTGGGGGGAAGTGAAGAACAACCAAAATACATTTATATTTTTATTTTTGTTCTTTTCAGGCTTGGCCAGCAGTCCGTCCTCCACATTCAGGCCATCTCTAACTACAGTAAGTAATCCAAAGGACAAAACAACACATGGCTTTAAAACTTAAACTTTCATCTTCTGAATAGTTAAGAAAGTTCATTTATATTGGATTTATATATATATATATATATATATATATATATATATTTAAGTTGTTGATTTTTTTAATTTATCCTTATTTACAGGTGCTAAAAGTACTAACGGCCACCACCACAGCAGCAGCAGCAGCAGCTCTCTTGCTCCGAAACTGCTGATAAAAACCATCGAGACCAGAGATAACTCCAGATACAGCACCCACTAAGAGTGAACGCGCTCATTGTTTCTCTTTGTTTTGTTTTTACCATTTATCTCTAAATGTTTCAGACTGCATGAAGGGCTTTGAATCACTTCTCCATAGAATATTTGAGATTTTCAGTCAAATAACCATAGAAATTAAAATAAAATAATTACTGGGAACTGTTCAACCAGTGTGTTTTAGTAGCTCGTTATGTTTTCAACATAATCTGACTTAGGTCTAACTCGGTCGTGTGCAAATCTGCTGTTTTACTTTATGTTTAACCTGTGGTAGGATTTTTAGAATATTCCAAACGATTTAGAAAGTTTTATGTTTGTTTCTGTAATAATTATGTTGTGAAAATTAACTTTTTGTCTTCTGAGCAGATTTTATGCTGTTATTAAAATACACTAGATTAAACATAGATATAATCATGGGTGTAACGTTCTTTTAGAATGCCTGTTAATTCAAAAATAAAATAGACTTGAGCAAAAGGTTAAGTGTTTTTATTTGCCTGAAATGACTCAGTCCATTAAACTTTCTTCAATCATAAACAGTTGAACACTTTGGATACAATGCTATTTGTTTTTGTGTACTCGCAAATAAAAATAGATGCTGCAATAATGATATTATTACAGTCATGTTGGTAATACAGTGCTACTGTTTGAAGCGCTGTTTCACAGTAGAGGCAGACAAGAATAACTGATGTCAAAGTCATAAAGACAAGTAAAAAATGTAAAATTGAAATCTAACACAATTTTGTGAATGGCTGTCAACTACTATGTGCAAAAATCTCCAATAAGACTGAAAACATTCAACATAGCAATGTCCATAGCACTGTTTGGTATGAAGAAGTGAGACGATTCTGGTATTACTCTGATTTGATGAGTAAAGCGTGCAGATGAATGTGCTTTGTTTACATTGAGTGCCTACCCACATTTTACAATTGCATTAAATAAATCTGTAAAATTACCATTTCAAACTGCACCCCATACCATACCAATTTATTTATAAAGCACTTTAAACAGTGACAAAGCACACCAAAGTGCTGTACAGGGACAAACAGAACAAGCACACAGCAACAGATTACATAACAGGACACCAAAAAGTAGAAACCAACAGAAACGATAATGGATAACAACAACAACCGCAACATGACCAACACAGTGTGATGCACACAGACTCAGCACAGATCACACAGTGCAGAAAGCCAGGGAATAAAAGTGTGTTTTTAAGCGAGATTTAAAAACTGTGAGGGAGGGGGCCTGTCTAACGAGCAGAGGTAACTCATTCCAAAGTCTTGGTCCTGCTAGAGAGAAGGCCCCGTCACCTCTGCGCTTGAGACGGGTTCCTGGGACTGTTAGGAGCAACTGGTCTGCTGATCTGAGAGAACGTGGTGGGACATACGGCTGGAGCAGATCAGTAAGATAGGAGGGGGGCAGAGCTGTTTAGTGATTTATAGACATACAAGAGTATTTTGAATTTGATTCGAAGGTGAACCGGAAGCCAGTGTAGGGAGGCCAAAACAGGTGTAATGTGCTCTCTTTTGCTTGTGCTGGTCAAAAACCGGGCTGCTGCATTTTGGACCAGTTGGAGTCTATCTATGGAGGTCTGACTGATACCAAAAAGGAGTGAGTTGCAATAGTCGAGCCTGGATGTAATGAATGCATGAATTACTGTCTCCAGGTTATTTTTGGACAATATGGGCTTCAGCTTAGACAGTCGCCTCAGCTGGAAAAAGCAGGATTTAACAATCATATTTACATGATTGTTGAGTTTCAGAGAAGGGTCAAGTATCACTCCTAGATTAGTGACTCTTTGTTTCACTAACGGTGACAGAACGGATAGGTCGATGCAGTGGTTGGTGATTGTGTCATTGGGAGGAAACAGCATAACTTCAGATTTCTTCTCGTTGAAACTCAAGAAATTTAAAGCCATCCAATCTCTGATGTCAGCCAGGCAGTCCAGTAACGGTTGAATAGAGCGAGTACCGTTGAGTCTGAGGGGGAAGTAGATTTGGCAGTCGTCGGCGTAGAAATGAAAAGGTATGTTATCTTTCCTGAAAATAGCACCTAGTGGCAGCAGGTATAAAGAAAATAAAAGAGGACCAAGGATGGACCCTTGCGGTACCCCCCATTTAAGCACTGCCGAGGCTGAACTAAAATCTTTGATGGAGACACAAAAGGACCTGTCAGCGAGGTAAGATCTAAACCATTCGAGGGCTGACCCAGTGATGCCCACCCACTGCTCTAACCTCGCAATGAGGATCTCGTGGTCGATTGTATCAAAGGCAGATGTGAGGTCCAGTAAGACAAGGAGCACAGAATCACCAGCGTCTGTGAACAGGAGAATGTCGTTAAAAACCTTGAGTAGAGCAGTTTCAGTGCTGTGGAGAGGTTTAAAGCCAGACTGGAATAGCTCTAAGATGGCATTATCCTCTAGAAAGCATTTCAGCTGGGACTCCACAATTTTTTCCAGTAGTTTAGTGACAAATGGGAGTCTGGAGACAGGCCGGAAGTTGGACGTGACTGAGGGGTCAAGGCTAGGTTTTTTCAGGAGAGGTTGGACAGCAGCATGTTTAAAAGTTATTGGTACCACACCTGAGGCTAAGCTGTTGTTCACAATGCCAAGAACAGGAGGGCCCAGAACAGGAAGAAGCTCCTTAAGGAGTCGAGGGGGGACAACGTCAAAAGGGGAGCCAGATGGCTTCATGCCGCACATGACCTGCTCCAGGGAAGACAGAGAGATGGGCTCGAAGTGGTCCAGAACAGCAACACAATGAGATGGGATGGACGGATCATGAGCAGGTGGAGAAATGAGTGCCCGGGTGTTTGCAACTTTTTCAGAAAAGAAATGGAAGAAATGGAAAAGAAACCCCAGGACATCCTTGTAAAAGAGATTAATAATCTCAACAGATTTCTTTCTTGGTAAATTAAAGGCTTACATTTCATTCAACCTTTATTTACACAGGTTAGTCTCATTGAGTCACGAGGACTCATTTTCAAGAGAGACCTGTTTTTAACAAAGAACACAGTTGAGGTACAGACAACAATAAACAGCCATAAAATGCATATAAAATAAAAAGTAAATAAAAATAGTGATATAAAACAAAATAAAATAAAGCTATATTATGAAACAAGGTAAAAAATACTAAAAACAGGAACATGTCTGCATTGATTTTGTAATGAACTTAACAAATTAAAATAAAATAATACTTAAAATTTGATATACTGTAAATTAAGAATTTTTTGTAGTCGTGGTTAGTACCATTAATTTATTATAACGCTAAGATTCGTAACTGGCTGTAACTATCGTACCCACTCTATTCACTGGTTAACTGGACATCATTAACTTCACGCAGACTCTCTCACTGGTACATTTTCATCTTTAAATCACTTCTTGGTCTGCTGCCTTCATACATCTCCTCCTACATGTCTCTGCGTGAGTGCAGCTACAGCGTGCGCTCTCAGGACATTATTACCTGCAGTGTTCCCTCAGTGAGGACTGAACTAGGCAAAGGGACCTTCTCCTACTCCGCTCCTGTTTCTTGGAATATCTTACAGAAAGATCTGAAGCCCTTGACCTTTCTAAAGTATTTTAAACCTCTGTTAAGTTCCTGACAAAAGCCAATGCAGACATGGTCCTGTTTCTAGTACTCTACACAGCTGTTTTTTCGCTAATTTTCCTTTTAATTACCATTTTATTTTAATTTGTAAAAAAATATATATTATATGCATTCTTTGCAGGTCTCTCTTGTAAATAAATTCGCTTGGACTAACTTGTTTAAATAAAGGTTGAATGAATAACACTGCCCTCTAGAGGTCAATTCGTTAACTGCCACAACATATTTACTGTTATTATTAACCGGTTTTTCCTGAAACTAGCTCAGTTGTTTGGACCTTGAAATACCATTTCACTACCGGGAATATTATTTTAAATAGCTTCTATTTCGATTTTGACCATTTTTGACAAGCAGGAAGGCTAATACATGTCTGTGACGTTGAGCTGAACGAGACTGAAGGGGGTTGGGCGATTAGGTTTCCTGCCGACGCTTCCTTCCACTCTGATTGGCCAGAGTGGCAAAGTTTTCGCGCCAATGCGCTGCATTGTGGGAATTGTAGGCGGAAGTGTGACGCTCGTGCGGGGACGTTGTTTGTTGGTGTTTTGGGTGAAGACGGAGGCGCGTTGTGGTTCACATTAAACTCCGGGGAAGCGGGTGGATTTTAAAGTTAAGACCGTAGCCGGTAGTTGTCGCGAATGCGGGGCGAAGAGTCGTCGGATTCGGAGTCGGGGAGGATGGAGGAGAGCTCGGTCCGGAGGAGTTTGGAGACGTTGTGTCAGGAGCTGAACATGGACGAGCAGACAGCGACTGAAGCCATGGACAACTTCACTGCCATCTGGAACACTTACACCCTGGAGGTGAACGATGTTCTGAGCGGTTGCAGTTTATTACGCTGTTGTAAAGTTAATCATATTCACAGCTGAACTTGGCGCTGTCTGAGACACGAACACGGAGATTCGAGGGCTTCAGCTGTTCTCTAACCAGGAACTAAAAACGGAAGAAGAATTAAAACATTTACCTTCATTAGTTTTGTGTCCAGTCATCAAGATGTGTTTTCAGACAGCCAACTTTAGGTTCATGAGAAAGTGGTCACCGAGTCAAATATGTAAATAATCAAACAGAAGTACATTTTTTATGCAAAAATACACTAAAGTTAAATTACAGTGGAATCTAGACTCTCATTTACAAAGCAGCTTTATAATTATGTAATCTATTAGTAAGATAAAGTTGTATTTAAAGTGTACTGACATCTAAATTAACGGTATAAACATTTAAAATGGAGGGGAAATGTTCTTATCTGGGGGTTTAATGACAATATTTAAATGTTTTCTTTGTTCTGGTGCTTATTTTTGGAGAAAGTAGTATTTGTTGGTGTAATAGTACTACTACAAATAATAATAGTACTAATAATACTTTATTTTCTTGCTTATTTGATGCAAACATGGTTATAAATTTTTAATGAACAAAAAACAGCAATAAGATGCAGATCTAATCGTCTCAAAGAATAATAATTGTGCAGACAAAACATCTAAAATATATTTTTTAATCGATTGCTTGTTTACTTCGTTAATGAGCCTCAACAGTCTTTTTGTTTTAAGCTGAATGGAAATTGTTTGCTGTCATTACTAAAATAAAAACATACCTCAATTTAACCACAATTCATATTTAACTTTGTTGCTTCTTGTTTTGATTTTTTTGCACCAGCGTGACTGCAAAGTTAAAGTTTGATCCTTGAACGCTAAATTACTGTAAGACGAAGAGTTGATTTATAAAAAAAAAACAGAAAATCTCCAATATATAAATTAGTCTGTTGGCTTTGGAATAAATGTGAAATTAACATTTTAATTGCCTGTGTTACAGTAAGTTTGTCCAACTAATATCTGTAAATAAAGTTTATTAGCAGTTACTTAAATACAGTTTATTGTGTGTCAGCTCTCCCTGTTAAGAAAGTATTTGCAAACTTTTGACCTATTGATTTCTTCTTGAAGGGTCAAAGGTGCTCCACAGAAAAGAGAAGAGACAGCAGACTGTTAACACAAAGAAGTATAATAATTATCCGATTCAAACATTTAATCCTGGTCTTAACCTTTGATTAATATTTGCACCGTTTGTGCCAGACAGGTCCTTAGCGAGCAACATTACCATATTACTTACGGGTCATCTAGGCCGTTTGCATCAGCGCTTCGTGTGTTTTTGTCTTTTAAAGAACAAACAGTTGCACAGTTCAGTTTTTATTTCAGAACCGGCACATCATTGATTAGCCAACGTGACCAGGTTTGGTATTTGATGAGCTAATCTATTTTAGTGCATAGCTGTTTAGATTGGTTTGCTCATTACGTCATTTAAAATTTCAATATGAAGTAGGGTTTAGAACTGCAACTTTGAAGTATTTTTACTTGCAAAGTGTATTTTTTAATATATTGTCAAAAATGACAAAACCACCGTGCTGCTGCTCTTGTGTCAAAATGACCACGAGGCCTCTTAGTTTTAATTAGTCTTAGCTAAATATTTGCACATAGTTTGCAAATAAGCTTCATATTTGTTGGTGTCGCTATGAGTAGTGTTATATTGGAAGAGGTGTAACTTAGTTGTCGTTCATGCTGAGTGATGAAGGTTGTAATATGTTTTTAATGCCTGCAGGGAGAGGTGGTCCACTGGCTGGCCTGTTCGCTGTACGCCGCCTGCAGGAAGGGCTCCACTCCCACTGTGGGCAAAGGGCTGATGGAGGGAAACTGTGTCTCGCTCACCAGGATCCTCCGCTGCTCCAAACTCAGGTCAGGCACCGTCCCTCCTGCAGAGCCTGACTGTGCTGGTATCGCATCATGTAAACGCCACGCTCTCTCCCTTTGAGCTGTTGCAGCTACAAGGAACAAATGCAACAGAAAATTGCAAACTTTTTAACACGCTCTTGATGATTTATTGCAGATGTGAAAGACCTGCAGATATTATGCCATGTTGAACTCGACATTCTATCATTCTGCATCATTTGTTGACATTTGCTGGAACTGCTAACTCTTACTCTTGAGCTCGGGAGCTAGAACTCAGTTGTACACTATTTTCTGTGGTAATAAATCTACGTTCACCGTCTGTACCGCTCTCCAGCTGTTGGACAAATAGGGATGTGTTGCATTTGACAGATATTTTTACAGTTGCAGTGAGGGAGCAGGCGTTAGAGTGGCTCCTCAGACTAGATGGACCGTAATGGTCAGGGTAATCTGCATATGTATCTAGTTTAGCTCATCTTTATTCATTCAACCTTTATTTATACAGGTTAGTCTCATTGAGCCTCGAGGACTCATTTACAAGAGAGACCTGTTTTAAACAAAACACAGATGAACTACATATAAAAACAGATAAAATGGAAAAGTAAATAGAAGAAACGATATAAAGCTAAACAAAAAACAGCTACATTATAAAACAACCACACTCCTTGTTTCTTTGAATTGACAAAGCTCCTCGGATGAGAAGTGAATTTTGATGTTGCTGTTTCTTTCAGTCTGATCCAGTTCTTCTCGAAGATGAGGAAGTGGGCCGACATGTCGAACCTCTCGCAGGACTTCAGGCTGCGGATGGACCGTCTCGAACGAAACTTTGAAGTCTCCACCGTGATTTTTCGCAAGTTTGAGCCCATTTTCATGGACATGTTTCAGAATCCGCAGGGATGTGAGCCGCCACGGCAGCCGCGCAGCAGGAAGCACAGGTACGACACACACACTTATTTTTCTTACACTAAACTACGACTTACTAACTACTAGCGGTGGGAGTTTTAAACATCTTTTCGATGCGTCGTGAACGCCTCTAAATTCATTTTCAAATGTTGATTTTGTCAACATGAACTTGTGCCGCCACTTTAAAAGAGTTAGCTGAGGTGCCGTTAGAGCTTCTGTAGCTGAAACATGTTGCAGTGGAGTCTGGTGTTTTTAAATCTTTTTCAGCTTTCCTTCACTCAAACTGAAAATGTCCGTCTGTAAACGATAGCTGAAGTTACTATAACATGGCCGTGTTCAGTAATGACTTTGAAACGGTTGATTTGTGCATAGATTTTTAGTAATAACCACAATGCTAACGACATTAGCTTTTCTATGGCGTTTTTAATGTAAAGTTAGCATCTGTGCTAAGTGTTGTCAGCAGCTTCTGATTAATAGGGTTTTTTGGCGCTCTTTACTTGGCATGAAAATGTATAAATCCCTGTTTACTCTGTAAATAAGTGATAGCATTGTCAGCTTTTTTTTTATTCTTTGTATTTTAATTTCTCGATATTCTGATAAACATCCAAACAGCTGCCTCTTGGTGCTTATTCACGAACTTTATCATTGTGATGCATCAATGATTGTTTTATAATCACGTCCCAGCCCTCTGAATTGTAATCATGTTATGAGGTGGCTGAAATAATTTCCACCTCTTCTAACTAAGAAATATTCACGTTAACGATGAATGAATTTTGTTGCAGGCATTGACATTTATATCTGAGTTTAGTGTTCAGTAATCCAGTTACGTCAAATCCCAAGATCTTTAATTTCTTCTGCATCCAACAATGTAAAAGATTTAAGATTTTAAGATGTTTTAAAACGTTCCATGATGCTTATAACAGTTAAAAATGTACACAATTGTCTGTAACGTGTTTTTTTTTGGGAGGTACTATGCCAAATTGTATGAAATTTCAGTTTCTTTGCTGTTTCATTGGTTAACTGACTTATTTATTATTTATTACGTCTTAATGTAATACTTTCACAATGATAAAGATGTTTGTTCTTCGGTGGTATAACCCTCACGTTTTATTTCACGTGTTGTCAAAGAGCACATGTTTAAGAACTACTTGAGGGAATTCTAACCAAGTCTTTAAACTCGTCTTTTTTGTCTCACGTGGGTTGTTTTATCCCTGAGTTTAGTCTTTAATCACACAAATTATCCCTAAAGTGCAGGAGCAGTGCCTTCATTTCAAGTGTCACAGTAGTAAGACACATTCCTCTTTGACCCTGCAGGCGGCTGCCGTGCCACATCAGTGATGTGTTCAAGTTCTGTTGGACCCTGTTTGTCTACACTAAAGGTACCAAGAAATAAATCCTGCTGGCTCTGGGTTCTGTAGATCTTTGTAGGAATGCCTGATGGTGTTTGAATTTACATTTCAGATTTAATGACAGAAAGAATATCCCAAATTGTAGTTTATTAAATTTCCGAATGACGCAGTTCGACTTGTTTAAAGTGTGAATGTTTCTGTTCAGTGCCCTGAGAGGACTTCTGTTGTGACTTGGCGCTGTATAAATGAACTGGTTGTTCTGTGAAGGAAACTTTCGGATGATCGGCGACGACCTGGTGAACTCGTACCACCTGCTGCTCTGCTGTCTGGACCTGGTGTTCGGTAACGCTGTTCTGTGTGCAAACAGGAAGGACCTCATCAACCCTGCCTTCAGAGGTAGGGCCCTGAATATGCAAAACACATTTCAGCCTTGATTTATTTACAGTCATCGCCAAAAAAACGAGATCATCGTTTATTTAATTCATCTTCTAATTTATTTAATTTATCAAGAAATTCGCCGCTTCTTTATTTTTTCTCTTATTAACCGACTGTTTACTTGGGTTGTTTACTTGCCGGATGTGAGTTTTGTGGTGAAATTATATTTATCACTCTTATCCAAACTTGACTTGTGAGTATGTAGGTCAGTAGGAGGCAGAGTGGGGGTCAGGATTTTGTTCTGAATGACTAAATATTGAATTTATTCATGTCTGGACTGTAGGAATGCGCGATATATACGGTACACGGTAGACATTTAGCCTACGATAGAGATATGTATTCTACCGGCTAACCGCAGTAATGCTGTGTCTAATGTAAAATCAGAGTTGTCAGTTTAATCGTTACTTTTATTTTTTAGGTTAAAACTGTGCGTAAGTGGTGTTCAAGTCTTTTCTTCAAAAGCTAAGTAGCGAAGCTACAAGCTAACTACGGCTTGCCGTAGTGTTGCCGTATTCGGACGCATGCGCAAAACGCCGTGTTCCGTCTAAAGTTAAAGTAAGCGTTGGTCAGCTTTAGAGAAACCTGCTCTCTGATCTGTGAAAAGAACGCTGCGTTGTGTGATTTTACTGCGAGAACCTCTGGTCAAAGCCACAGAGGAAACTGGTCGCCATTTTGTGTCAGCTCTCCTTAAAGCGTAAGGAGACGTCCACTAGAGGGTTGGAGGGTGAAATGTTTCAGCTGCTGTTCATTTCTTAAGTGAGAAGACTGGAAACTGTTAAGAGTTAGCATATTCTTTTGTTTAAAACTACATTTGATATCTTTTGCACTACAAGAAAGAAGCTTAATACTTGATTTGTTTTTTATTTAAAAATTCTCTGGACCTAGTAGTGACGTTTTCTTAATTGAGATTAGTTTGTGATATAGCAGTTTTCAAAATAAATTTCATTCCTATTGCAAGTTTCATACCAAAAACATATTGTGATATATATCGTTATCGCCCCCCTTCTCAATACATATCGTGATATGAATTTTATGCCATATCGCACATCCCTACTGGACTGTGAAGTTTAGGATCAAACCAGTATGTGCATGGTTTCCTGCATGACGTGATAACTCTTGTTTGTTTTTCTCAGTCCAAATGTGTTTTATTGTCTGTTCAGTTTTGCCAGTTCAGTCGGCCTCATTCTTGTTTCAGCTTCTACTACTTGTGCTTAGAGTAGAAAGAGAAACAAGCTGCTATTTTACCAGCACCTCACATGAAAATTGACAGGATGACTGTTCAATAATTTTTCCTCGTTTTGTCACTCTGGCTGTTTATTACGTATCAGGATGTGTAGACCTACCGGTACTTAAAAAAAACTTGATAAAAATGTCTAAAACAAATTGCTGCATCTTTAGTTCTGTCTGTCTCCGCAGGTTTACCCCCCACGTATCGAGCTGACGGCCACGCGTCCTCAGACACGCCTCCTCCGTGCGTGCTGGAGAAGCTGTGCGAGCTGCACGATGGGCTGGTGGTGGAGGCCAAAGGCATCAAACAGCACTACTTCAAACCATACATACAGAAATTATTCCAGAAACTGGTGCAGACAGCTTTTTTTATATCAGTCAGCCCAGATTTAATTTAATTTAGCAGGAAATGTTTTTAACTCATTTTGTTCTTTTTGCATTTTTCAGATCCTGAAAGGAAACGAGGTGCTTTTGACTGAAATGTTGGATCCTCAGAACTTTATTGATAACAAGTAAGCAACAAAAACACGCAGATAAATAATAATTTTTAGACAAATTGTGTGCTGTAATATCTTTTGATGTCAAACTCTTTGTTATTTTTTAAATAATTGCATTAGTAACAGTATTTAGTGAGTATTCCTGTGTTCTTGTCCACAGTAAGGCCATAAACAGGGTGTACGAGGAGTATGTGCTGACAGTGGGAGACTTTGATGAGCGAGTGTTTCTGGGAGCCGATGCTGACGAGGAGATTGGAACGCCGAGGAAGGTTGTTCAGGAACGTGCTGCCAACCAAACGGCCGCTCACAACCAACTGCAACAGCACGTGGAGAAGGTACGAACACAAATGCACACCCAGGTTAGGTTCAGGTTTATTGTCATATGCAGATCAACACGAGGTCAACGATGCAATGAAGTGCTCAGGACAAGAAGAACCGTCACCACTCAAATAACAAAAAATACCAAAGCAAACAAAAATACAACAACAAGGCACCAAAAGTGAAAAAAAAATAAATCTACAGCAGCATGGTCCTGTTAGCAGTGTGGTCCTGTTAGCAGTGTGGTCCTGTTAGCATTATAATTCTGTTAGCAGCGTAGTCCTATTAGCAGAGTGGTTCTGTTGGCAGTATGGTACTGTTAGCAGTGTGGTCCTGTTAGCAGTATGGTCCTGTTAGCAGCGTGGTCCTATTAGCAGAGTGGTTCTGTTGGCAGTAT